CCGGACTGGAAGGGATCAAGAGTAGAAGCGTCATCCAGAAAACCCTGCAGCTGTACCGCCACCGCCCTCTCAATCAATTTGCCCAAATAGGGCAAATTGGACACCGGCCGATAGCTGTCCAATTTGGCCGGGTCTAAGGTTGGTTTTTTCAAGAGAGGGCGGACCATCGCCTCCTTGAGAGCTCCTGGGAACCGTCCCTCGGTGAGGGATCTGTTGATAATCTCCCTAAGAGCTCCTCGAAACCCCTCATGGCCCGCTTTAATGAGCCAGGAAGGGCACGGATCAAGGGGGCATGTGGTTGGGCGTACAGCTATGAGTAATCTGTCAACTTCCTCAAGACTGAGCAGGTCAAAGTGATCCAAAACCGACGCCGACGTGCAAGGGGCCTCGAGTTCGCTCACTGTTTCAAATGTGGCGGGGAGGTCACGGCGAAGCGCCAAGACTTTATCCGCAAAATAGCTCGCAAAATAACCTAGTAGTAGACTAGAGAAGAGACTGGATTCATACCTGCCCCTTCACTACCCAGAGGTGTCTCAGAGCGGCTGCTGACAAACTCCGTTTCCCTTCCGCTCCCCACAACAGACACCCTGCCGCACCCGCCAGCTGTGTGACCCGGCTTCAGCCTCCTTTGGCAGCACGGGAGACCCCGGGAGGAGCGCAGCCCGGTGCAGAGCAACTCCCACTGAGCAGCCCCATGGAGGTGCACCGGGCGTGGCGGCCGGGCTGGAGCTCCCCCTGGAGGACACCTTTTGCATTTGTCTCCAGCCGTGCAGGGGTGAGACCCAACGATCCATTTGCTGGAGAGGCCGAGCAAGGAGGGGGGGAACGGAGGAGGGGCCTTTTTGCTCCTCCTGTGGGCCCGCGCATGCGTGTCCGGGGAGGGAGGTTTGCTTCCGGAGAAGTAGCAGCCGGGAAAAGCCATGCAGCCGGACCGCTGCGGGGAGGTCTCCTTAGAAGTAAGGGGCATGCACGGGGGTAGAGGCACGCACGGCAGGGGGGGGGTGCATGCACACGTCTTCAGATACAGTGCAACAGAACTTCTTCAGCCAATATATATATATCTAGAACTGGGGGGTGGGTGGGGGGGGGGGGGGTTTAGTTGCCAGGAAGGGCTGGTTAGAGCCAAGCTGGATCAGTCATTGCCTGGCGATAAGTAGAGATGAGATTGGATTGCAGCGGCTAGTAAGACCTCAGCGGTTAAGCTGGCCCTTTAAAACAACAGGGTTTTGTTCTGCTGCACCAGAAGTCCCCTACAATTATAAGTTATGATGCGCTGCATTAGAGGGTGTCGCTGAGGGCAGCCTGGCTACAGTCCGGCAGGTCCAGGTCTGGGCGGCGGGCCTGGTGGAGAGAGGACAGGAAGACTCCCACCCACCCCCCTCTGCCTGCAGCACTGAAAGGGTTAAAGTGAGGGCGCTGCGTTGCTAGAGGGGCCGAGCAAGGAGGGGGTTGAAAGGAGGAGGTCTTTTTT